ATTCTTGCCTGTCAGCAAATTGTGGTCTACTAGGAGAAACAACTGTGTAAACAAAATGTTTTAGAATTTTAAATTTAATATTAAGATTTTTGAAGTGTGTAAACTCAAGAGGAAAACATCTCAAATTTGGACATGCAGGTCTCCAAGTGAACTGCCCCCAACCTCCCAAAGATGTGGATTCAGCCTGGGCTGCAGGGAATCTGAGCCACCACAGGGTGGGGTAAGGAGATTGTGCCCCCAGAAGAGGGCAATTCAGACAGAAAGGTCAGCTGTCCCAAGGCCGGTGGGCAAGAGACTTGTGTCTGTTCAGGATCCTGACAGAATGTAAGACTCCTGCAGGTAATGTTTCCAAAGAAGACTAGGTTCTGGAGTCTGATGGAGCAGTGCTGAATTCCAAACATTCCTCTTCCTTGCCTGGTGACCTTTCTTAACCTCCCACCTCTCAATTTCTCATCTCTAAAATGGGGACTATAATTATGCCTACTTTGTAGGATTATTGTGAGGTTTACCTAAAACCTTTCATGGAACAGGCTTAGCACAATGCCTGGCTCATTGCTGTCAATGAGTATTCAATATTAGGCCTTGTGGGAGAGGAAGAAATTTCTCTCTACCCTGAAAGGTTCTTTCAGCTGATCTGATAATAAAATCTACATGAGACAGATTAGCAAGAGAAGATAACCAAAGTTACACATATATGTATGAGAATCCTAAGTACTGAGAAAGTCAGAGACCCCACATGCAGGAGAGGTTCAGAGACAGAAAAGAAACGTGTCTATTTGCCTCTCTTATCTTAAAGATCACTGAGTGATTTTCCCAACATAAAAGATTTTAAATGTTGTGGAGGCTGGCCTTCAAATTGGCCTCCTGTGATCCTCACATCTTGGTATCCATGCCCTCATATACTGCCCTCGCACACTGAATAGGGCTTACTTATGTGACCAATAGGATACTGTGGAAGTAACACTGTTTTCTGAGGCTAGGTAATAAAAGATGTTACTTTCATTTTGCCCTCTCTTGGACCACTTCCACTGGAAGAAATCAACAACCATATTATAAGAAAATTCATTCAACTCTGTAGAGAGGCCCATGTGGAGAAGAACAGAGGTGTTTTCCAACAACTGTGACCAACTTGTCAGTCTTGTGAATGAGTCATCCATTAAAGTGGATGTTCCAGTCCCAGTCAAGCCTTCAGATGACTGAAGCCCTGGACAACATCTGACTGCAACATCATGAGAGGCAACTAGCCATAGTTGGTCAGCTAAGCTGCTCCCAAATCTCTGATCCTCATTCATTGTGACAGAAAATAAATTTTATTGTTGTTTTAAGCCACTGAGTTTTGGGTAATTTTTGATGCCTGAATGAATGTTAATATAGTTATCAGCATCTCGAACATTAAGCCTTTCTTCATTCTGCTTTGGATGATCTCACTGCTTTTTTTCTCCATCATCCCCCAACCCATTCATGTAAGTTCAAGCCCAAGAGCTGAGTGAGGGCTTGTAGCAGTGATATCTGTAGTTCTATGGGAATGGCCTGGACTCCTCTACCTTCTGCCTCAACCTTCACTAGCCTTTGATAATGGTCACAGCTCCTGTTGTACCAGCCTTCCACAGACAACTATATCTTGACAAAGTATTAACAAAACAACTTCCTGAAGGCATTGGAGAATGGCCAAAAAGCTGGCAGATACTGGAGGGCAGTTGTCATTTGGAAGAGGGCAAATACACTAGGTAAGTCATCAGTGTTACTTTTGTTTTGCATAAGGGTAGGTTTTAGTGGGCATCATAGTAGAGTTGGGGGGGAGTCTTAAATGAAGATAGTGTTACTGGGTTGAAGAACTGAAGAATGTAGGGGTGACCGTAGCATAACAGAGAGCACAGAATCACATCCTTCCTTCTGTTAACCCTGGGCTTAATTTGTTCTTTTTCTGATTCCCTGAGGTGTAAAGTTATCTAATTTCCTATATGTATTTATTGTTATAAACTCTCCTCCAGAAATACTTTTGCTGCATCCCACATGATTTCATTTGCTGTAGTTTCATTTTCATTTGTTTCAAGATAGTTTTTATTTCCATTTTGATTTTTTCTTTGACCAGTTGGTTCTTTAAAAGTGGGTTGTTTAGTTTCCATGTATTTGTAGATTGTCTCACTTTCTTTTTGTTGTTGATCTCTAGTTTTATGCCATTGTGGTCAGAAAAGATAGTTGGTATGATTTCACCTTCTTAAATTTGCTAAGATTTATTTTGTGTCCTACCATATGATTTATCCTAGAGAATTTTCTATCTGCGTTTGTGAAGAATGTGTATTCCATTTGGGGATGGAATATTCTTTATATGTCTGTTAAGTCTATCTTTTCTAAAGTATAGTTCAAATCTAATGTTTCATGTTGATTTCCTATCTGGATGATACATCTGTTGCTGATGGTAGAGTATTGAAATTCTCTAGTGTTGTAATATTGTCATTTTTTCCCTTAAGATATATTCACATTTGCTTAATATATTTTGGTGCTTAGTTGTTGGCAGTGAACATATTTGATTGTTATATCTCCTTGATGTATTGACATTTTTATACTTATATAATGATCTTTCTCTCTTGTTAGCATTTTTGGCTTCACACCTAGTTTATCTGATATAAGTATGGTTAAGCTTGCCTTCATTTGACTTCTGCTTGTTTGAAATATCATCCATCCCTTCACTTTGAGCCCATGTGTATCTTTAGAGCTGAAAATGAATCTTCTGTAGGTAGCATAGAGTTATGTCATGTTTTTTAAAAACCCAGAGAGCTACTCCGTGCTTTTTGATTGGTGAGTTTCATTTATATTTATGGTGATTGTTGATATGCAAGGATTTACTACTGCTATTTTACATTTTGTCTTCTGCTTATTTTGTCTCTCCATTTTTTCTTTTTTCCTTCTGTTTCTGTATACCTTTGTAACTTGGTGGTTTTCCACGGCAATTTTCCTTTTTATGTTTTCTGTCTCAGCTTTAGATATTTACTTGTGGTTACTATGAAGTTTGCATGATACATTTAATGAATAAAATCCTTTTTCTGCTGATAGAAATTTATCTTCACTTGCCTTTAAATGGTTCCATTCTTTTATTCCTCCACATTTGTCTTTGATGTCACAAGTTATCTCTTTATGCTATGATTGCTTTACTGAATTAGTAGTTGCAGCTATTTTTAATGTTCTTTACTTTTACTTTTATGCTATAATTGTTTAATTATACAATTAATTAAATCAATTATTTAATTATAATTGTTTAATAATTGTTCTTTACTTTTACTATTGTAAAAGAGGTTACGTTTTCTAATTTTGTCTATTTGTCACCTTAATCAGTTTTGTATGCTGTCAGCTTTTCAGCTTTAAGAGCTCCTTTAAACATTTCATGCAAGGCAGATGTAGTGGTAGTAAACTCCTTGGCTTTTGTTTGTCTGGGAAAACATTTATTTCTCCATATCTGAAGGATAACTTTGCCAGATAGAGTATTCTTGGCTAGCAATTTCATCTTTCAATACTTTGAATATATTAACCTCTCCTGGCTTGTAGAGTTTCTTTTGAGAAATTTGCTGATAGCCAAATGGGGGTAGGGGGAGTTCATTTATAATTTACTGACTTCTTTTCACTAGCGCCTTTACAATTCTTTATCATTGACTTTTGACAACTTTATTATAATGTGTCTTGGAGAAGGTCTTTTGGCACTGAGATAATAATGTGTTCTATTAGCAACATGGACTTGCAGATCCATCCCTTCCCCAGATTTAGGAAATACCTTTCTCAGCTATTATTTCTTTAAATAAACTCACTGCTCCCTTCTCCCTCTTTTCTCCTTCTGGCATACCTATTTATCTTATGATTGCTTTTCTAATCAAATCTGATAGTTCTCGTAGGGCTTCTTCACTATTTTAAAATCTAAATGATCTCCCCTCTTCTACCTGAATCATTTTTAAATTCCTGTCCTTGATCTTGCTTTTTTTCTCTTCCATCTGATTTGCTCTGTTTCCAGTGCTTTCTAATGTGTTTTTCCTCACCTTTATTGAGTTCTTCAGTTCCAGAATTTGTTTGGTGATTTTTTTAGAATTTCATTCTCTTTGGTAAAGTACCCTTTTTGTTAATTAATTTTATTCCTAAGTTCATTGAATTGCCTTTTTGAGTTTTTATAGCTCATTGAATTTCTTCCTAACAGCTATATTGAATTCTTTATCAGTTAGATTGTAATATCTCATGTCTTTGGGTTTGGTTGCTGGAGATTGGCATTTTCTTATTTTAGTACTATATAATCATGACTTTTCATAGTGTTTGATATAGTATGCTTCTGTTGCCACATTTGAAGTAGGGAACACCTTTCTTATTTCGGTAAAGCTTTGTTTACATACTTTGTTTCCTTCTAACAGTTCAACAGGTTAGTAGCTAAGAGCCCTCCTTTTGTTTTCTAGAATGTACTATAGCAAAAATTTTTGGTTTCTCTTATGAAAGCTGACTCATCCCTAAGGTTGGAATTACAAATAGCAAAGCTGGTGTGGAAAAGAAAAACTAGGTGGTGCTAGAGTAGGGGGAGGTGTGTGCTAACTTGGGGCTTTGGGTTTACCCAAGGCCTGTTAGGGGGATCTTTGAGTGGGAAGGGGTTTCTCAGAGGTCCATGGGCAGATCTCTTGCTGGAATCCTGGGGCAGACAGCAGGAAAGGCATTCTTCCTTCAGCTCTCTTTGTCTGCCTTCTTCCTTTCCCTCCCCTAAGTCAGGGAAGTCTCTCTTTGGAAGTCTGGAGCATTGTTGAAGAGCAATGGGACCATCCAGTTGCAGCCAAAGTGGCCTGGCATACTTTCACTCACCCCTTTCACTTTTCATCTTCTCTGATAGATGATGAAAAAAAGTGAGAGAGGTTGCTTCTGCATCTGGTGATGCTGCTACTTTTTCTATTCTTAAAACACCACAAAAAAGCAGTCCTAAAACCACTGACTACACTAAGTATGGCTGGTGCTTGAAAAACAAAATGGGTTTTAATGAATTTGCTCCACAATATTTTATTGGTAAAAGTTTTATATAAAAAAAGATGTAAGAAAAGTTACCTGTCACACTGAATAACATATTGAAAGGATGTGTATGACTGTGGTTTTTAATTTCTCTACAAAATTAACCAGCCATCATGGAGTAAAGAGAGTTAGAAATAGTAAATATATCATTTTTTGAACTCTTCGAAGTTCAAAAAGCATTGTGCTAATTTTTAAGTGCAAAGAAAGGTCATAATAAAATAGACTTTAAAAATTACAAATAAAAATCTGTACATCAAGGATATTTTTAAGGCCTTTCCATGTGCATATCACTATGTAGAAAGAGAAGAGGAACTGCAGAGAGAGGAACCATCACATCAGGTGTTACAGGTTTGCCCCATTTCAGCTTGCAGGACCATCTCCTCTTTTCTCAAGGGGAAAGTGTCAATCAGATTGAAGAGGGCCACAGGTGTCACCAGGGAGACATAGCGTTCCTTGTCCATGCCATGCTTATCTACTAGCACCATGCTGAAGGAATAAAGTGGGATTCGCAGCAACAACCTATGGCAGAAAAAGAGAAGAATATGTCAAACCTGACCCCCAGGGGTTCTAGTGGACCATCCAGAGCCCTATAGTGACACAGTGTTCAGAGAAAAGCTCAATGCCACAAAGGACTTAATTAACCTTTTGACCCTTGCTACTCAAAGTGTGGTTCTTTGGATCAGCAGAGTTACATGGGATCATGTTAGAAATGGAAATTCCCACACTCTACCCCAAATCTACTGAATTAGAATCTTCATTATTAGTAAGATCCCCAGATGACTGGCATGCACATAAAATATTGAGTAGCACTGCTTTAGGTTATAATCATCAGAAAGTCATTAGGCCTGCAATGGTGCTATGCACCAATAGTTGCCACAAGTCATGTACAATACTAACAGATATTTTACATTAAACTGGAGTCAATACAACTTTGCAGACTAGGTTTGCACAACCACATATGCACCAGTACTAAGTAAGTGGTTATCAACAGGGGAGATTTTGCCCCACAGGGGACATTTGGCTATGTCTGGACACATTTTTTGCTGTCACATTTGGAGAGAGGCCAGGGATGCTTCTTAACATCTTCCAATACACAGGACAACCACTCCCCCCAAAAAAGAATTATCCACTACCGAATGGCAATAATGCCAAGGTTGAAAAAGCCTGGACTAGGTGAAGCTGATTGATATAGGTTTCTAGATTTTGTAGTTCTGGTCCATTCAGTAGCCAGCTCAGGATAACAGTTAGCGGGGTTTGAACTTGGTCTATACCCTTAGTATATTGACTTGGTTATTATAATTTGTACCTCAAATAATTCAAAAAATAATTCAATTTGGTTTCAAAGGTCTGATTTTTTGTATTATATTTCACTAGAATTCAAACTGTCAAAAATATTATTTTTACATCAATGCAAACATGTTTAGATGAAGAGAGCCAAAGAAAGCAAACAGATGGATTAGCTGAGCCCAGTGAAAAAATGAGCCTGCTCAGGCTCTTATCCAGATTTTGCTTTTTAGTTTAGATATCTTGAGATCATGTGTGAGGCAGAACATATACTGCCATCTGGATTTAAAATAATTTTTGTCTCAAACAAATGGATCAAAAAAATCATTCAAAATCCAAACTGACTACACTTTCTTCTGCTTTTTAAGAAGGAGTTTGTTGGGACACGGGAATAATTTATATTTTATCCCATTGAGAAGCTAAATTACTATTCCACTTCTAGTGACTAGAAATAAAAGAGACAACACTGCAGTGTTTCTTCCATGTTTCCTGCAATGGTAAGAAGGGAGGTCAGGTGCAGATTCTTTCCAGAGGTGCTTTAATGAAGAAGTCCAGTATTTAATGATGAATGTAGACCATGAAGTCAGGTGAGAATGGACAACTAAACTTCTCTGTGTCTTTAAGAAGAGAAGTATCTAGTTTTTTGGTGAGGGAGAAATCCTAGCCCAGGGTGGGGGGTGGTCCCAGGAAACAGAAGCATTGGCAAGTAAGCAGGTTGAGAGAGAAAAGGGCTAAGCAATGTTGTGGTCTCTAGAGCCTGTGGGATAGTGTAATCAATGATGAATTGGTACATTTGATGTTATAGTGCTTATTAGCCCAGGATAGAAATGCCTCCCATGGTGCCACAATCTGCTACCATACACATTCATCATGTGAGCCTTGTGCCTTGATTCACATAAAACACACAGAGAGAAAACCACCAGAGGAAAAGATAAGTAGATAGATCCACAAGCTAGGCACAAGCACAGAAATGCATCCCATTATGGCCAAGAGACCACAAATCTCAGGGATGAGTGATCAGACACTCCAGGAGATGAGAGCTGGTGCCAGTGGTATGTCATAGTTACACAAAGGTCTGTCATCAGATTGAAATATGTTCTTCCTGGAGAATCTACTAGAAAACTCTCCATACTCAAAAAATACTATGGGAGGTTCTGATTCAAGATGGTGACATAGGAAGATCCTGAATCACCTTATCCCACAGACACACCAAATCTACAACTACATATGGAACAATTTCCTCTGGAAAAAAACACCTTAAAACTAGTAGAGTGATTCAGCCTATTAAGTGAACAAGAAGGAAACTACATATGAGCTGGTAGAAAAGGCTGAGACAGTTTCACCATAAACCACCTACCCCAGCATGATGACCCACAATTTGGAGGAAACTCAAAATTGAGAGATTCCCCCTGATGAGTGAAGCGTCTGTACCCCACATCAGGTACCCCAGCTTTTAAGATCCGCATCTGAGAGACGAGCCCTGTAAACATCTAGCTTTGAAAACCAACAAGACATGAGCCACTGCAGGTCTGTTGCAAACTGAAAAATGGCAATTATAGTTAATAAAACTGCATTACATATTCAAAGTTGCTAAGAAAGTAAATCTTAAAAATTCTCATTACAAGAAAAAATAGTTTTTCAATTATATATGGTGACAGATGTTTATAGACTATTTGAGATAATCCTATAATATATACAAATATCAAATAATTATGCTATTCACCTCAAACTAATAATGGTATATGTCAATTATACCTTAAAATATGATATGGATATAAAACTTATTGCATTCTTAGTCCCTATCATCCTTGATATTCCTAGAAAATTACTCTAGGGAACATGAATTAGCTCATACATCCAGATATAAAGGAAATGAGAGCAAGAAGGCAGGTAAGTGCTGATCTTGCAACACCAGGCACCCACCCTTTCCTTTATGATGCTGACCTTCAACTAATTTATCATGGCTTCAGTGAGTGCTATTTGGAAATAGTATTCCAAACATACAAGAGAATTTTTAAATTCTCCAGGCATTCTTCCTCTCCTCTGTCTTGCTTCCCCTTCTTTGTTTAAAGTGGTTCTTTTCTTCTAGACTCTAGGGTGGAATTCAAAGAAACAAAACTTCCATTAGCCCAAACCCTTGTTCCTCACTGACAGGTCTGATAAAGGGGACATGAGGCCTAACACAGATTCTCTTAGGTAATGCATGTGAAGAATCTTTTATGTATGATATTTACCTGGACTATCTTTTGGCTACATAGTAATGATTTATTCTCTTTTTATAGGCTGCTTTGAGAAATTCCTATTTCTAAATCAATTGTGAAGCCTTTGGTAAAACACTAGGGCCAGCGGTTCTCCCAGTGTGGTCCCTAGACCAGTAGCATCAGCAACACCTGGGATCTTGCTAGAAATGCAATTTGTCAGGCCACATTCTAAACCTACTGAATCACAAACTCTGGGGGTGGAGCCTAGCACTCTGTGTTTTAACAGCCCTCCAAGGGATTCCGAGGCAGGCTAAAATTTGATAACTACTGCATATTTCATTTGTATAACTTATTTGTTGCTTAAATCATCCTCAGCTTACAGAAGTCTACAATAGCCCCAAAACACAAAGCCCGAATGACAGAAATTTTCATAAATCAGATTTTTTTCCTGTTCTTCAAATTTAAACAGTTTAAAATATCAAGATTTTATAAAGATCCCTTATTGTGTGTGTGTGTGTGTGTGTGTGTGTGTGTGTGTGTGTATCCGAAAGAAACATTTAGAAAATTCTGCAATAGGTTTTTAAAAAATCATTTACATAGGGTATAAACATGTAGTTCTAAATAAACATGAAAATTTATAATAAAAATTCTCAAAGTAGCTCTTATGAAGCTGTTGCTTATTTAGAAATATGTGGCCCTCCAATTTTCCCAGCACCATTTATTGAAAAGGCTTTCTTTTCTCCATTGTATGTTTTTGGCTCCTTCATCAAAATTTATTTGCCCATGTATATATGGTTTTATTTCTGGGCTCCCAATTCTGTTCCATTAGTCTGTGCATATGTTTTGCTGGCAATACCATGTTATTTTGATTATCATTGCTCTGTAGTATAATTTGAAGTCAGGTACTGTGATACCACCTCTAGCTTCATTCTTTTTTCTCAGAATTGCTTTGTCTCTTCAGGGTCTTTTGTGGTTCCATACAAATCTGATAATTTTCTTCATTCTATTTCTTTAAAAAAGTCATTGTGATTTTGATGGGGATTACATAAATTTGTATATTGCTTTCAGTAATATGACCATTTTAACTATGTTGGTTCTTTGAAACCATGAATGGAATTTATTTCCATTTCACTGTGTCTTTTTCAACCTCTTTTAATAATGCTTTGTAGTTTTTAGTATTTAGGTCCTTCAAATCCTTTGTTATTCAAGGTATTTTATGCTTTTTGTTGCATTTGCAAAAGGAATTGTTTTCTTTTTATTAGATTTCATTGTTAGTATACAGGAAAGCAGTGGATTTTTGTATATCAATTATGAATCCTGCAACTGTACAGTATTTGTGTATTGTTTCTAATAGTTTTTGGTAGAATATTTAGGGTTTTCTATCTACAGAATCATGCCAATTTCAAAAAATGAAACCATTTCTTCTTCATTCCAACTTTGGATGCCTTTTATTTTTCTCTTTTGCCTGATTGCTCTGGCTTGGACTTTCAGAACTGTGTTGAATAAGAGTGGTGAGAGTGGGCATCCTTGTCTTGTTCCTGATTTTAAAGAAAAAGCTTTCAGTTTTTCACCATTGGGTATGAGATTAGCAGAGGATTTGTCATATGTGGTCTTTATTTTGTTGAGTTACTTTCCTTCTATATCCATTATTGAGTGTTTTAATCTTTTTTTTTTTTGAGGATGTATGTAAAACTGTATTGGCAAAATGTGGATAATTGTCAAAGTCGGTAGTGTGTATGAGGTTTCATTGTGATATTTGTTTTATCTGTGTTTGAAAATACCCATAAAAATCTCTTAAATGTCATATAAGAAGATTCAGTAATACATTGGCTAAACATAAGAACGCTAATGACAGAGAGCAAACATTCCAACTAGGTAAGATTATTCCCTTTTTTCTTTTTTTTTAAATTTTATTTTAATCATTGTTCAAGTACAGTTTTCTTCCTCTTACTCCCAATGCAGCCCACCCACCCAACCCTCCCCACTTCCCTCCCATTACAACCCTCCCCCTAGTTTTTGTCCAAGTGTCCTTTA